TCCTGCTCTCAGGATCTCTCGACATCGACGTGTTTGTGTCTTGGTTTTGCACCAAACACTTGTTGTTTTGCTTGCTGGAGGGCTGGAAGTAGCTTGTAGGCATCCCCACACCTCACCGGCCGTGGCTTAGCCACCGGCCTTGGTTCCGTGCCACCGGCCATTGTTGTGGTTACCGTCGGCACTATTGATGGTCGTCGGCATTGTTGTCCTTGTCGGTCCGGCCACTTGTTTTCTGATCAGATCGGCCACTTTTCCTTAGCCGAGACCTCCTTGGAGTGAGGGGGACCCTCTGAACCTTTTTTTAGCTTCTTGAGGAGGCTTGAACCTTTTTAGGCTTCTCCAAAAGCTTACCCGTCTTAACCTTTTTTTTTTAGTTCTTGAGAAGCTTGACCTTTTTAGCTTTCTCCAGAAGCTTGACCCTTTTGAACCTCTTTTTTTAGCTTCTCCAAGAAGCTTGACCTTTTTAGCTCTCCCAAGAATTCTGAACCCTTCTAGCGTTCCAAGAGAAGCTTGCACCTCTTGAACACCTTGTCTAGCATTCTCAAGAAGCTTGACCCATTTGCCTAGCTTCTCCAAGAAGCTTGTGCCCTTTGTCTAGTTGCTCCAAGAAGCTTGGCCTTCTGGCCCTTTTGCTCCAAGCTTTCTAAGAGAGCTTGGCCTTTTTGGTCAAAGCTTCTAAGAGAACTTTGCCCCATTAGGTTTCTCTATATAAGGAGAGCCTCTCCTTTCCATGAGAGGGTTAGAAAATTGAATATAAGATATCATATTATCAACTCCCTCTCTCTCTACATTGTGTTGAGTTTAGGGAGGTTCAAAAGGGGTCTAGTTCTTGGCCACTTGAACTACAACTTTGGCCCAACACTCCATCATCACTTGTGAGGTTCTTGGGCTTTTTTCAGAGTTGAGGGTTGCATTTTTGGTCTAGAGGCTGCTGTCCCCTTTGGCTACAAAGGTAAGACCCATTTCCCTCTTTTTCCCCTTTTTTGCACACCATTTAGCCTTGTCCTTGCTTTCTTGATTTGAGGCTTTGTGGTTATAACCATTAAAAAAGTCTGTTTTTTTTTGTTTAAATACTTCATTAAGACACTTTGTGTTTTGGGTCGTTTACGCCCCTCTTAGGCCTTGTGTGGCCCATTTTGTGCTATTTTTGTGAAACTGTCGGGACCACCTTGTTTGGGCCTCCTCACCACTGAAATCTTGAGGGGATTTCAGTGTTGAGGATGGTTGTTTTAAGGTCTAAGAAGGAGAGGGGCCATTCTCCTCTCCTTGTGTCTTCAAAAAAAATGTCATTTTAGACCTCATGTGTGAGCAGCCTTTTTAAGTTCATGTTGGCCATGTCTGAAGGTTATTTGTGCTTATTTTGCCATGATATAGCACTATTTTTAATTGGTTTTAGACACCCATGCTTGCTTTTGACATACTTGTCTTGTTTAAGATGCCATGAAATTGCCCTCAACATGTATCTAGCATTTAGCCACATGCTTACTTTGTTTTGGCTTAGCTTTGTGAAGCTTTTATGCTTGTTTTAGTGTGCCTAAGGGACTTTTTATTGTCATTTGAGGCATCAATACTTTGCTTTGTATTAGCTACCATTGCAAACTCTCTTATGCCTTGAGCATTGACCCCTCTAGCATTGCCATCCTTGCATCATTCAGTGTTGGAACCACTTGTCATGTCTATTCATCCTTGTGGATGCTATATGCTTGCATTTGATACCCCTTTAAGTGTTAAAGGTGTTGTCTTAGCTTCCTTTTTGGGCCCTTGTGCATGCTTCCATACTTAAGCCATTTTAGATCGCCATTTAGGTGGGTTTTGCAGGCTCATTTTAGCATTCACATCTCTATTTTTAGTCACTTAATTGCATGCCATGCGTGGTGCGCTAAGTGTAGTTCAAGCTTCTTGGTGAGCCTTTAGGCTTAGATCATTTGTTGTTATTGTTATGCTGTCTTGTTTGTTGTTTTGGCACCATCATTAACATGATTTCATCAGAGCTTACATTGCATGCCATTATGCCCATGTTGTTCCTCTTTTAAGTCGTGCTTAAAAGTTGTCTCTATGTGCCTAAGTGTTGGACCTGCATGCATGCCTATTTGTATGTGTTTTGGCTTCCATTCTTGAGCATGTTGGCCACTGTTTGGACCTAACTAGAGCTGTCCAATTAGGTGTAAGTCCACCTCTGCATGCCATTCAAGTGCTATTACATTATCTCATGTTTGCATGCTTTGGTTGCGTGTGTTGCATGCTTGGAATCATTTGCATTTGGCAGCATTCCCTTGACAAATTACTAGCATGTTGCATGATTAGATTACATCTTGCATGCTCTAAGTAGTTTGCATAGTTTGGGGCATGCTTGTTGCCTTGTTGCTTAGGTTGTGTACCTAATGTGCATTTTCATGTGCATGCTCCCTTTTATACCATGTTGCATGTTAGTTAACATGCTTAGGTATGCATTAACATGCATGCCTTGTCCCTTATTTAGTGATAGGGATGGGCCCTTATGTGTTTGCATGCATTTACATTTGAAATCAAAGTGCACACTTGATTCTTTGGGCCATCACGCATTGAAATGCGCGATTGATGGTCCGAGAACCAGGATCATGGCCCTTGAGTGATAACATGATAAGGGTGTGATTGGTGCAATACATTGCTTGAATTTGCATTGCCATGCTTGCCTTGCCCTCTGTTGCTGGTCAATTGCAGATTCTGCAGAACACTCTGCCGACCGGCAATTTCTAGTGCCGACCGGCAATCATTCCCTGCCGATGGAGTCATTTTGTGCCGGTGGCCACATTTCTACTTGCCGGTGGAAATCCCATTCAGCCGGTGGTGTTCCCAATGTCCAAGGAAGAAGTCCTGAGGTTTTGCAGCCTCCAGAGAGTAAAGAAAGGAAAACAGAGCAGCCATGCATGGCGGTGCACTTCCGAGCAAGACCCGAGCACGCATTGCATCGAGCTCTCCTCCCGAGGCGGTTTATTGTTTTTTCTAGCTTAGTTAGTTTGTCAGCTAATTAGGCAATTTGTAATAATTAATTAGCTTGTAGGTTAATTATCTGTATTATTCTTTTTGGCCCTCGAGTGAGGGTAAATTTGTAATAAGTGTGGTGTGCGTTGTGCATGTCTTCCAACCTCCACTTCTTCTCCCTTTTACTTACCTACTTTTATGGTTAGTATTGAGGACATGTTTACTCTAGCATACCTTATGCTATGCAATGCGTGCATCATTCATTTTTCATGAATGCACCGGGCTCGGCGCATCATTCTAATTGCATTTGTATTTCAATTCCAAATTGAATACGTGTTAGTTGTATCATCATCATATGCCATCTTAGAAAGCGAGCCTATCTAGATTGCATCTTTGCATTTGTGCTGCCACTAGCCATTTTTAACATGAACTAGGATCATGCATGTGATTACTAACTAGTTTCTGTTTTGGCTTGGAGTACTCTGTAAGTCTATGCTTTAGCATCCTTGCATGCGTGTGAGTGTGCCATGACAGCATGATTACCATGAGGCTAGCTGGCTTATGTGATATAACTGCTTGAATGCCTGTGGATGAGGTTGAATTACCTAAATTGGAATAATGCATTAAAACTGTGAGTTTTAAGCCCCACTAGATAGTGGCAAAAACCATCTTTCTAAAAGCCCACTCGAGGGTGGCAAAACCGTGCATTTTTAGCCTACTTGCGAGTAGCAAACCATCTTCAAAACAGACATGCAATGTTTTGTTCCAATTTAGGCGATTTGGTCATATACTGGTTTGATGTGCGCATAACATAGTAAATCTAGGCTAATAACCGAAATAAGAACGCATAACGTTTTCAAAAATGGATATCACGGTTAAGTAGAGGCCGATCTTCGGGATCGAGGAGAGTGCGACGGGGGTGCTCACGAAGTGACCTTCCCCAATCGTACCCAAGTTCCCGAGCTGAGGCAACTTTGGTGATGACGGACACGTGGCCTTTGGCACCGAGTCAGGGTTTCCTAAATTCCCCCATAAAAAATATTTAGGTGGCGACTCTGTATCTGGCAAAGCAGTCCATGTTTGGCACTTCTTTTTAAAAATCTGTTTCTCAAAATGATTTGCCAGATTTGGACTCTTTGGTTCAGATTAAGAACCGTGATACACAAAGCGAGTCCGAACCGTAGCGAGGCCCACACGGGCGCGTCTACAGTTTCTGGCGACTCTGCTGGGGAAATTAGAGAGCTTGACTCGAACTCGTGATATCCCATTTTGAGCATTGCAATCAAAAGTTTATGCACAAGCATACCAAAATCAAAATATGAGACAACTAAATCAAAAATTGCTGCTCTTAGAACATGAACTTTGGGAGATGAAAGCTGAAATGTTAAAAGGAAAAAGGTCGAATAAGGTATAAAAAAAAAATGAACAATGTGACAATATATGTTATATATATATATATATTGATGTTTCATAGCTGTTCCTAAAACTTTTTCAATTATAACTTGTAGGAACCAAGCGAAGATGCAACGGGCAAGAAAAATTCTCATGGAGAAACCCAGGTAGCTTTTTCTAATTCTTTTTTTTTTTTTAATTTTATGAAAATTAAAACACAGTCCATAGACCTCTATTTAAATTTAGGAGTAATTACAGTTTACCCCCTCATGGTTTGGTTCAAAAACACATAAGCCCTCTTATTTCTCTATCTACTCTACCACCAATACCCCCTCCTATTGGGAAATAACTTAGACTTTCACTGTCTATAGCTTTGGCACTTGGGGCTGTGGGTACTTCACCTACTTTAAGGTAAGGATTGTTATTACTTTAAGAACTTTATTATTGAGTTGCTCAATAATATGATGCATTTGAGGATTGTTATTACTTTAAGGACTATTGTACTCAGAGTTAAACATGTGATGGAGATATTGAGAGCAATGTTCTCAGAACAAAAACAGCATAGTGCACCTGACAAACCTACTTCAATAGTCTAAACCTATAACTTGGATATTAGCAACATGTGCATGAATGGGAAATCATTGTCCAACTGTCCATGTTGAATTTTTCACTTCAACTCAAAAGATTAGAGCCACCAAAATTCATGGTAACTAATTTGTGAGTTTTTTTGGGTTATTTATATGGGAAAAGATTAAAAGCTCACGAACTTTCAACTTGGGTGAACAAATTTGTCTTCCTATAAAATTTAACTATTTTTTACTTTGGTGCTTCACATCTTACTTATAAGGATATTTCACAAAGTTTGTAAAAATAAAAAATTGATTAATACTTGTAGGAGCCAAGCAAAGGGGCAAATGGACACTCACATGGAGAAACCTAGGTAAACTTGCACATTTCTCATGCTTGTGCTTTTGCTTGCTTGCTTTTCTACTCAAGCTTGTCATTTTGCATATGGATTACATTAAGATTCTAAATTTAAGTTAAAAAATGCTTCTTGCCATTGTATTACAATTTTTTTATGGTGAGGAAAACGGTAGAGGTGAACATAGGGTGCATGGAGGTGATGAACGTAGGATGCACTCACAGCAAAATATTTGGGTAAATTTTGTATGGTATTATTAATTTACTCATTTTCATTTTTCTCGTGTTTCTGCTTTTGTTTGCTTGCTTGCTTTTCTACTCAAGAGTTTTTGTCAAATTTTCATTTGCATCCCACGTCGTTTACTAAATTTGGAAAAACAAATATAACTTGATATTGTATTACATTTTTTTTAAGGTGACAAAATTAATGAAGACAATGAAGATATTTGGGTAAATTTTATATGGCATTAATAATAACTTTAATTTTGTCTTCAATTCATTAGGTTATCTTATGTATTGCTTTCATGATAGTTGCATGACGCAAATGAAACTAGAAATGGTGGATCCTTGGACAATGCCAAATGCAAATTGTTGAATTGGGATGGAACAAAGGTGATGGTTGCGGAAGGCACAATTGCATCAACAGATTCTAAAGTATTGGTACATCATGTGCCCCTTGGCCCTAGGTGTTAGAAAGTATGGGTTAACCATGTCATAGTCAATGCGCCATTGTTTCACCCTAATCGTGAGATGTTTGTGCTTGAGGATGCTATTGGAAACACTGTTGCTTGGCCAACCTATTTCATTAGCTTTGATTTTGAGTAGAACTAACATCTATGGATAGTTTTGGGGGACTTTGATGAATAGATTTCTATAATTTTTGAATAGTTTTGGGTAATGTTTACAAACTTATATATGTACAGTTTTGGATGGTTTATAACTTTTTGGATAATTTAGAACTTAAGGATTGTCATTTTGGATGTTTTCGAACTTGCAGTTAGGTTTTGGTTGTGTGGAATTTATATATTGACAATTTTTGAATGTTTATAATTTATAGATATAGTTTATTTTTTATGGTTGAAATAATATGTTTGTGATTGATTGATATTTTGTGAAGCTTGTTGGTAATACTAGATTGTACAAAACAGGCCAAATAAAACCTGCTGAATTTAAAAAAATAAAAAAAAAATGCACATTCTACAGCAAGCAAATTAGGTCATTATATGAAATATTCCAGAGCATTCCATGTATGCTGTGGTATGTTCTACATATCTACGGCAGGCTGAGCAAGTTATATTATATATTTTACGGAGCACAATCAGCGCTGTTATTTGTCCCACCACATAACGGCATGCAAAAGTGGTCGTAGAAAAAGTAACGATGCACAAAATCTTCCGTTAAATAGTTTTTAATGGCGTACTATAACACGTAGAAAAAGTAACAACGATGCACAAAATCTGCCGTTAAATAGTTTTTAACGGCGTACTATAGCACGTTGTAGAAAAAGTAACAACGACGCACAAAATTTCCGTTAAATAGTTTTTAACGTCATACGAAACATGTTGAAAGTGAATGACTCTCCATGACTAGTCATGATATGACGTGCCGCTGCACGTCGTAAAAGGGTTTTTACGGCGTGCATTGCACGCCATAAAAACCTTTTTTTGTTGTAATGTGCTATCCAGTAATGAGTTCTCAATGTTGAATGGAATTGCCGATCTTGCTAAGAAAATGGTAGAGATTGGAAGAGACAAAATATATCCATTGG